GGCCCCGGCCCCGGCCCCAGCCCGCTGCCGGCAGCTCCCGGGCGCCGAAAAGTTGTGGGAGCGAGTCCGCCCCGAGCCCAGCCCAGCCTGGGGGCCGCAGCCTCCCGCCGGCCCCCCGCGCGCCGCTCCGAGAGGAAGGATGGGAATGATTACAGGGGCTAATGATTAACTGGTGCGCGCGTGAGTACACACGCGCGGGGAGAGGTGCACACACACGGAAGGACACACACAGGCGGAGATGTAGAAAGACACACAGAGGTGTGCAACCTCCCCCCCCTCCATGCTCACACGGACACACCGATAAATGTACACACACACACACACGCACTGAGCAAGGTACACACGTCCACACAGATGTGCCCCCACGCACACATGTGGACACACACAGAAATGTACACGCAGAGAAATGGACCCCCGCACACACACAGATGCGCACCTTCCCGTGCCCGTGTACAGAGCGGCTCAGAGTCACCTCTCCCTTGTGCCTGTGTACACCCCCCCCCACCTCGGAGATGCACCCTGCACGTGCGTGCGCGGGTGTGTACTCACATATGCAGCCTGCACGCAGCTTGTGCCTATGAGTCAGTGGGTTTGGTTTTGTTTTGTCTTGTTTTTAATTACCCAAGTGTCCCGCATCGAGTTGAAGCCTGTACCGCAGCCCGAGGTAGCCGGCGAGGGCGAAACACATTAAATGGAGATTTAGAATAATTACCGGGCGTAAATTTGTCGTTACTTCGTTAATTAAGGCATAAAAAATATATAGAACTAGTGCGTGGAAGCCGCCAGGGAGCACGGTGTCACCTTAAAGCACGAACAAAGCCAGGGAGAAGCGAGAAATAAAAAGCAGGCTAAGGCCAGGGTGGCCTCTTCTGCATACCAATGGTTTTTGTCATTTATGGCTATACAAGATTTATGACTTCATGCACCCGAGCTGTAAACAGAGCGCTGCTACAGAAAACACTTGCTCCGTGTGGCACAACCGATGGCACCACATGAAAGGGGAAGCCGGGCAGCGTAGGAGGGGAGAAGAGGCAGAAATTCCCTCGTAGGCATTTTGCTCCCAGCCGCCCCTCCGAGGGTGCGGGGGAAGAAAAGCCTCTCTAGTCAATAATCAACCCCGCACTTTCTTCGGAAACTGCTGATTTGACTTTCTCCCCGCGGCCGCCTAAAATAGCAAGAGGCAACCCCAGAGCCCCCCTGGAGCAAGCGGGAGGACTGGGGAGATGGCTCCTTACACATCTGCAAAGGTCTTCGGGCTCGGGCATCGGTGCAGCTTTTGGATCACCAGACTCTCCGCTCAGCATCTCTCGGGTGCTTCGGATGGGGGCATGCCGAGCTCGGACTCGAGAGATACAGAGAGGCTGGAACTTTTTTCTGGAGGGGAAAGGGAGAGGAAGAGGGGGCAGATACTGGCTTTAAGCCACAGATTTTTCAAGGTATTTCAATTCGCACATGGGTCCCTTGGAATTACTGAGCAATTTTTCCACGATGCCTTTGATCTCGCCAGAAAAGCCCTCTAATCCTCTCGCACGACGCCTCTTGTTCTCACTACCCAACTCTGTCATTTGAAAATACGGCGGCGATTTATTCTTATTTTGTCCCCCAGTCCGATTGTCCCTCGATGCATCCTATAAACGCGCAGCTCCTTCTACCGCCGGGTCCACGCAAAGATAAACGGATGCAGCTCTCCCTAGGAGAGGGCCGGCTCCTCTCTGCGGTAGGAGCCGAACGAAGTGCTCGAGTTGGACCCGGGGACGCATTTGCCCTGCGTCCTGGCTAAATATCTGAGATGAGGACTTGACTGCTTTCTCCGGAGGGCTCGGGCTGGAGTGGGGCGCCCAGACCGGCGGGAATGTCGTCAGTCCGGGTGTAAGAGAGACCAGCTAGATCTTTATCGGGTTTGCTCTGAACCAGAAGCTCCCAGGATATATAATGTATCAACACTTCGGGGCTAGTGAAGAGGGGGAAAGCACATTCTGCCTCCTCTAGAGTAGGAAGAAATTCCCCATGAAGTGTACCCCAGAGTCCTGGAAGGCTGATCGGGGGCGTTAGCCGCCCTCGATGGAGTGCCCTGGCAGATCTTGCGGACACACCTGTTTTAAATGTGTGCCGGGGTGTATATTATCGAGCGCCATAAAGTCACAGCTGACACTTCATTGTGTGTTTGCTCGACATCTGGGGGGTTTACACAGGCATAAAGCGGCTCGGAATAGCCCTGCTCCACTCAGCTCTCCGCGCCCCCGCAGCCTTTGCGGCGGGACTGGATTATTTATGAGTGTTTTAACTGGGTCAAAATGCGCCCGAACTGGGTCATAAATCATAAGAAACGATGACAAGTAATTGAGCTGCAATTAAAGCTTACATTTTATTTGCAAGGCGCGTTTTGGCCCATTTAAAACACGGGAAGGCAGTTTTTAGCTTTTAAACACGCTGTGGGGAGCGAAAGAGCTCTCCTTTCAGCATCTCCCATAAAGAAGGCCGTGTTTCATGGTGGAAGGGGAGAGAAAAACGGCATTTTTTTGGGCCAGCTCTGAGCTGAGGATATACATTGGCAGCTAAAAAGAAAAAGAAAAAAAAGAAAAAGAAAAAAAACCCCTCTCCGTTTCCGTTTGCTCGGAGTGGATGGAAGTTTTAAACGGGCCTTTCTGGTTTAAGTAAAGAACGTTTTGTTTCTAAAAGGCTGCATTTTTTTAAATTGTTAATTTTTTTTTACCCCTGACCCGCTCATAAATTGAGTAATTACAAGTGCTCAGCAACCTGGGACAAAATGGGACAGCAACATCGAGAGAATCGCTCTGCCCCAGCTCACTGGAAACATAAATCACAGCTCCGCACTCTGACCTTTCCCAAAGCTGGAACCCACTGGTGGGTGTAATTTCCTCCCAACATTTGCACCCCTCTAAAACACAAGTAGCCCTTTACTTTTTCGTAATTTAAGGCGCATTTCGACCCGATCTCTGTAGAGCAGGTTAGGACATGGTGGTGGGGAGAAGAATTTAGGGAGAATGGTACTACTCCTACAAGAGATCCCCTCCCCCCCTTTTCTGGCTTTCCAAGAGCCCTGCTCAGAGGGAAGCACATTTCCAGAAGCTGATTTATGGGCATAAAGCATTTGTTCCTAGGCAGATCATTGTCGGGTGCATCCGGGTTTGGTCAGACTAGGGGAATTGCCGAGCAGCGCGAGTCCCAGCCCGCCTGGCAGGATAAACAAAGTAGCACTAAGCATCATAAATAAAATGGCAGCACAATTGCATACTCATCGATTTCCAGCGCCGGCATCGGCAAAACAATCGCCCAGAGAACCAGCTAGCCACAGCCCCGGCCCCAGGCGAGGAGGGTTTCTCAAAGCCGCTCCAATCATTATAGTAAAAAAGAATAATCAAAATAAAGCCTCCTCCGTGCCCCTGTTTGATCATAAAGGACCAAGCGAATAGCAGCATACAGGGGTTTTAGCAGGGGCTCAGGCCAGCCAAGACACACGACATCTCTACGAGACAAAAACCAAACCCCAATAATCAGAAACTCTCTGCTGTGTTGGCTGCCATGAGATACTTCGGTATTTTCCGCTGCAAATTGAAACAAAGGGGGAAAGGCAGCTTGATTTCAGCGCGCGCGCGCGCGCACACACATACACACATACACACACCCTTCAGCCTTTTCTCCTGACCTTTGCCTTGACCAGCAATAACTCACCACATAAATGAACAATCAACGGAAATACCTTAAAATAAAATCCATCCTTTCTAACGAAGCATCGCGTCCTATCAGCTCGCCAAGAATCTTTCCATAAGGACCCAAGGCTGCAAACCGAAATGGCAGGCTCTTGCAAGGGACGAAGGGGGTGGTGGGAGGGGGGGGAATAATAGAAAGCAGTTCTTGCTCTGAACAGAAACTGGAAAAGCGTAATCACAGACGAAGCCAGCCCGGGTCTCCACTCCAAATGCCACAATAATGCGCTGTAGTATGTGCTCACGTGGTCATACGTCAACTTAAATCCTTTTATTTGAAATAGGGAATCGGTGAAGGAACAAGGTTTCTAAGCGCAATCCTCTGATTTTGAAAGCCTCCACCAAACCCATTAAAGAAGAGTTTTAAGAGAAAAATATATATATCAGGCGATGGAGATGATTGCATTTGTTTTCTCCCACACTAATATTTCTTTACACAAAATCACAGGCAAGGTAAGAGGAATTGTTTTCATATTATGGGATTACATTGCACTTTTCTACTAACCCTAATTAACTGACTTTTCCTTAAATTGACCTGCAACAATGAACCACATCTAACAGCGGTGAGCTTTGCAGTCCAGTAAGACAGTCAAATCTTCATACCATTCTTTCAATAAGGAACTCCTTAATGACTAACAGTCTTTCCCACCGCCTTCTCTATACTGCTATTGTATGGGTCTTGCTTAACACCCACACTTTACATCAGGGCAGCTGTAGAAACTTAAAAGAGCTATAATTACCTGACAAAGGCAAAAAAGAGTCTCTTCTAATACTATAGTTGATTTTTGTCCTTGTAACACACTATGCAGAATGCGTCTTCTTTCACTGGGGAGGATCCGAATTTTGCAACATCTTTTGGGACATTCCTGTTAAACCTGCGCTTACGCATTTCCTATACAACTGCTTGAGTGATGCACAAAATTATAGGTTTCTAAAGATGAAAACAAATTGGAAAGAAATGATCTGACTCTCCAGGAAAAAAGAATCACCCTCACACCTCCCCCAAGTCAACTTGCAAAATGAACTGCTAATGTGAACACATACACTTCCTCCTAAGGCTGATCAGTTTTTAATATTTACACAGTACTTTAGATAACAAAAGAGACCTGGATTTCACAGAACTTTGTTGAAGACAGTTAAGGAAAAAATATGTCACTGTTCCAGGTTGGTGACTGAAGATTGGGAAGTTCTTGTCATAATTTTGCATTACAATACAAGGATTCATTTAAATATTTCCAAGCCCTCCTCTAGAATTTTTAAGAAACTTTCAAGCTCTCCTTCTGTTGCCATTTTACATCTTCGCCTCTACTTTAATTGATAGAAAGATAATTTTTGTGCAGTGAATTTTATCACCTACGGACATTATGGACAAACTGTAGATAATCTGATTTTGATTGCAAAGTAGAACCTAAGAGGCAGATGGAAGTTAAAGCCATCAATAATATTAGTAGACTTTACAACAGAATCAGAGTGACATTAAAACAGAAGGAGAATTTGCAATTTTTCAAATGGAAGTGACTTCCATAGTTATATTCCGCCAAGAACCTGAATAAAGAAATATCTCAGAAAACACAGCATGTTAGCCACACACAACATCTACACCTCCATAGCTCTTAAAGCTATCTTTAACCCTATTAAATTTAAAGCAAGAGTTAAATATGCAAAGAAGATTTTTTTAGCTGATTTCAATAAAGTGCTTTAGGTCGCATAACAGATACATGCACACACACATGCACAAAGTTTTTTTGTCAATAATGCAATTGAAATTAATGGATAATGAAGCAGAAGCTAAAAAAGCATAGTAAGTCTTCCTTGGGTCTCTTGTAAAAAGTTATCGACTGCTTTGCCTCAAAAGCAGGAAGATAGCTTTAGAACTTGCAGTCCTGAGCAAATAGAAA